CAACTTTTCGGGAATAAGGGCATATTTTCCCTTTTCGGAGGCGTTTTATTCCCAAATACAACATCGGATTCGGACCAGACTGGTCGGGTTGGGTAGCCGGGGGGCTGTAGTTACCCCCAGACCTACGGCCCTCACGGGATAACAGAGGTATTTTTTTTAATATTTTTTTAAAAACGGTCGAAAATAACCACATGTGAGGCATTCAGGCCAACTTTTCAGAAATCAGGTCAACATGCCAGTTTTCAGAGGCCTTTTATTTCAAAATTCAACATCGGATCCGGACGAGGGTGGTCTGGGTGAAGAGCCGGGGTGCTGGATTCCTTCTTTTAGGATGTTCTAAAAATGGGTGAAAAGATCAAGATGTTAGAATGCAGGTCATGTCAGAACGCAGGCCATCTTGTCACTTTTCAGAGGCCGACATCAGATCAGAATGAGGGTGGTCTGGTTGGATACCTGGAGTGCTCTCGTGTCCCACACGCCTGGTTTGATTGAGGGATAACTGAAATTCATTTTTAAGAATCTTTTGAAATAAGGAGAGGAGCTCAAAATGTCATATTTGAGAGGCATTTTAATTGGTGATGGAACATTCGATATGAATGCCAGTACTGTGGTTGTATACCTGGCGTGCACTTGTGTGTCGACAACCTGGTGTGGTTGCGCAATCACCCAAATTTAATTGTTTTAATGATTTTTTTTTAATATCAAGTGAAATGGATGTAGAATCACCATTGACTTTATTTTCTATCTCCACTTGAGAACGCTTATTGGTGCTGTTGTGAGAGTTCTTGTTCTTCCTCTGTGAATCTTTACCCAACAGCCAAGAAAGTACTTATTTTATATTTTAATTAATTTCTTTTCACTCAAAAAATGACGTTTATGCATGCGTGGGGTCTCTTTTATTTTGAAGGTGGCCAACGCGGCTCGCTGGCGGCACATTACCCGCATGGCCAGATTACCGTAATGCAGAGCACTCACAATCGGAGTGGCGGCTCACTTGACTTCAATTTTGCGAGTGGAGGCTGGCTTGACCGCAGTCCTGTGCGGTCGATCGCCAGGAAGAGTAATCATGTAGTACTCTTCCATACAGGTAGGGAGCAGCAGCAGCTTGGAAATTGCCTTCTGCTTCGAGACAATACATTGAAAGGTATCTTTCATTTAGATTTACGTTTATTGGAGATGCAACGGCACCAATGTAAGATATATAACTTTTTCTTCTGTATCAATTTGCTTTGTAATTCAGTGAGTGACAGGTGTCCAGCCAATCGCACGATACGATGCAATGTTTTGCTTGACTGTTGCCTCTGTATATGTGTGAGTTGAGTTCAGTTGAGAATGACGCTATGCAGCCAATCACGGCATTGACAGTACTTGCGCATGTTCTCTGCTCCATAACAATGGCAGTGCGGAGGCAATAAGTGAGGCGAAAGCGAACACCTGATCAAGACAGCGAATGTGATCCGTCGACTTCCCAAACCAAAATAAAAATGAACTGCGGTTCTTTTAAGTTGGAATGGCTGTCGGAGTATGTGCAAATAGAAAATAGAAGAACAAGCAGTGAAACTGGGTGAGATATTTTCTTTTTCGAGTGAGAAAGGTCTGTTTTTTGGACGGGGGGGGGGATATTTTTTATGACATTTAAAAATATTCTGAAAAATGTAAAAAAATAAAAATAAAATCAACAAAACAATCATATTCTGGGGGGAAAAACTGTGAAAAAATAAAACAAAAGAATTCCAAAAACAGGGAAAATGAAAAAGCAAAAAAAAAAGCTTTTTTTTGTCACTGAAAATTACAGGCGAAACAAACAAGTGACAAGTTGGGGATTTTTTGGATTAATTTGTCCAACCTTTCTGAGAAGATCAATGTGACAGTATTACAAAATGTTTCTTTTTTTTTTTTTTTTTACGTTTACTTTAGAGAAGGAGTTCAATTCCACTGAATTCGCAATGGTGTCGACGTTCTCCCCAGTCTCTTGTTTGAACTTGGAATGGCAGCAGAGACCTTGGCATGTTTGGACACCGGACACAATGACAGGGGGGTGTCTTTGTTCAATTTCCAAGACGGTGACTGAGGGTCGGAGACAAAACGAAACTGATTATCTCGTATTGCGGGACATTTTCTTTTTTCCTCGTAATGTGGCCGCGTTTCCACTCTTAAACTAATTATGCCCGCTATTAAAAGCTTAACGGTGCTTTACGACGCGCTAAACGAGGAAGGGACGTTCTCGGAGGGGGATACCATAAGGGGGAAAGTAACGCTGGCCGTGGAAAAGCCGACAGCCGTGCAAAGCTTCTTCGTCAAAGTGAAGGGGGATGCTCAAGTACGCTGGACGAGGAATGGAAACCAGAAGCACACGCACTCGGCAAGGTGTCGATACTTCAAACTCAAGCACTTTTTCATCGAGGAAAGTTCCAATGGTAGGCGGTGCAGCATGTCTCAATGTTTGTTTGTTTTTGTTTTTATTTTTTGCTGTTGCAATTGTCCAATTTCCATAAACCCACTCTCTAAGTGTGTTTTCTGTTGTGAATTATAAGCTTTGTGTAGAATGGGGTCGCACCGAATATCAAGAAGTGCTGTATCAATAAGGCATCTTCATTATAGGTGAAGTTGTGGTCACGACCGCCGTAGCTCAATTTTTACCCCAATCTTCACATACAGTATTTCACATTTTATCCACCCCGATCATCTATTATACTACGTCACTGGCAGAGATGCATGAACATGACTAGAAGTTGATAGATTACGTTTACACCAATTAAGTCAATTAGGTTTTAGGTTTACGATGCCTCCTGAACACCTCCCCAGGGAGGCATTCAGGAGGCATCCTAATCAGATGCCCGAGCCACCTCATCTGGCTCCTCTCGATGTGGAGGAGAAGCGGCTCGACTCTGAGCTCCTTCCGGATGACCGAGCTTCTCACCTTAACAGCAGCACTGTCCCCACCTTTGTCTGCCGCCCAGCTCACACTGCCCCCGACCCCTTTGGCCCCTCCCATGGGTGGGTGAGCCCATGAGAAGGGGGACCCATGTTGTCACTTCGGGCTGAGCCCGGCCGGGCCCCATGAGTGTAGGCCCGGCCACCAGGCGTTCGCCAACAAGCCCCACGTCCAGGCCTGGCTCCAGAAGGAGGCCCCGGTGACGCGCGTCCGGGCAAGGGAAAATATACCATCGCTCATGAAATCAATTTCTTCTCATTTACAGAGACAGTTCTTCCCCCGGGTGTCCATGTGTATAACTTTAGCTTTACCATACCATCAACGTAAGTAACATAATTAGGGATGTCCCAATCCGATCACATGATTAGAAATCATGTGCGTTTCAGTTGATCGCTTTTTTTACTCTCTGCATCTGCTGCTCTTCCATGACAGGAGCATGCCTTCAAGCTTCAATGGCACCCATGGAAAAATTGTCTACATGCTTGAAGCCAAGTTGTCTCGAAGTTGGAAATTTGACAAGACTGCTGAGAAAAAGATCACTTTTGTCTCCAAGTTCTTCCCACATCTACAATCTCTGATGGTTTGTTATGTCCATCCATCTATTTTTGTTTGTCCTGAAGAGCGAGCTGGAACTTATCCCCGCTGATTTTGTGTGACACCCAGCACTCGTCGCCAACTAGGGCACAGATAGAAAAATGTTCACACTTACTGTACAACCACACTTGTCGGCAGCCTGTAAATGACCTCACGCCACATTACCTCAGGTCTGCGGACCAGACATTATGAGAAGCCTTTTCCATTGCTGGTCCCTCTCTCTGGAATGACCTCCCACCGAACATTCGGCAAGCCCCCTCGCTGCCCATCTTTAACACCTGCCTCAAAACTCACTTGTATTCTTTGGCATTTGACTCAGCATGACTCAGATTTGATCTTAGTTTTACTGTTTGGTACTTTCTACCATCTTTATGACTGATTTATTGCTTTACTGTTGTATATGTTCTTTGCTCCATGTACAGCACTTTGTATGCGGCGATGGCTGTTTGAAAGTGCTCTATAAATACAGTTGAGTTGAGCCTTCAATTATCCGAACGCACATGTACCTGCAGAAAACTACCGACTTTTTTTCCTGGTCCTTCTTGGCATTACGAGAAAAGCATTAAAATGCCCCCCCCCCCTCCAAAAAAAAGCAAGAACACACGCCCAGCAACTAATCCTGCGATGCTGATGTGACGCCACACGCAATGTGCAGAAGAAATTGCAGTCGAATTCTGACTTGTGCCACTTCAGGGCATTACTCCAAAATCTTACTCCATGTTACTAAAAGTTAATCACAACTGGCCTGAGGAAAATTGTGACACTATCTCTGTTGATCTATATCATTCTTAACATATCGTTAAAAATGTTGTTGGCTTTATACTTCTTTTTTTTTCTAGTCAAAACAAGTTGTGGTCGAAGACAAAGAGTTGGGGATTTTCTCAAGTGGAAAAGTGCACATGGAGGTCACTGTTGATAGGACAGCTTACGCCCCAGGTCAGTCATGTGGACGCTCCTACACACAAGACCCCATGGCTGGATTTTATTATTTAGCTTTACATTTCCAGAGAAAGTGTCAAAGTTTACAAAGTATGACATACAAGTCTGCACTTTTGCCCAAATAAATCCTAATCCTTTTATGTTGTGGTTACCTCAGGAGAAACAGCGGTGGTTGTTGCAAAAATCAACAACAACTCTTCCAGTGACATGACGCCCAAAGTGCGTTTGTGTCAGGTTATTGTCTACACCGCCAGGGGTCACACCAAACATGAAAACAGCACTGTCAACAAAATGGCCGGCCAGAATATTGGAGCCCACTCGGAGAAGGAGGTCAGGTGGGCTGTGAAGATTCCCACTAATCAGGAGCCGACCATCAAAAATTGTGATATTATCTCCGTGGAGTACTTCTTAAAGGTAATGTCTAGAAACAGTTGTGACACTGTTTGACCCCAGAAACTACTCATGATTTGTACATGTGCTTTGGGAAGTCTTTTTTTTTCACTTTTCACTGTGAACGTATTTGATGCACTGATGTCACTTTTGGACTGGAATGTCAGTTTTCCTCTTCTGACTTCCCGCATCTTGAGGTTTTCAAGCCGTTTTGTTAGTCAGGCTGACTCACAGTGTATGACATTTTTCTTTTTTCCCCCTCAGGTGTATCTCAACATCAGTTTTGTCGCTGACCCTGAGGTAAACGTCCCGGTGATTATCATACCTCCAAACCTGGCATCTGCATCTCAGTTGGCCGTTTCTGGGCCCAGCTGGGCCTCACACAGCAGTGACTTCCACCCTCTAGCAGCAATCGCACCTCATGATCATCCATCCCCACACCAATACGAAGGGGGCCAAGCGTATTCGGTAACTCCGCCTTCTTACCCGGCTAATCCGTCGAGCCATGCTGGTCCACCGGCCATGAATCCCGATCCCGCCGCGCCCATGGCGTCGGGTTTCAATCCGGGAATGTCTTCGTACGGCTCTCCGTTTTTGCACTCATCGTCATCTTGTGCCCTTCACCCTCCGCCGAATCCACAACCATTTCAGCCACCAGAATCACACCCAGCTCCATCTACACCATCGTACGACCCACTTCCTTTCATGGGCGCCACCAATTTCCTGTCGCAATCAGATGAACCTCCTCCAGCCTATTCTCATGTTTTCCCGTCCTCTGCAAATGATGAGTGAAGGGAAACCAAATAACACACAGATCTGGTTATATGAATCACAAATGCTAAACTTTGGTAAATGTAAACCTCTCCATTTAGAACAATTTTTGAAAAGTGTGCTGTCACATTTTACTTTATGTGCATCTACTTCCTAATATATTTTGCTTTACAGGGCAGCATGCCAGCATCATGTTGCATTTTGGGCGACCAGGATTTGCAAACTGCGAGAATGAAAAAGGATTATTTATCCCTAACCCTTTTACATGACAACATTTTTAAAAAGTGTCACATACAAATTATTGCATTTGATCATGTTTGTTTGTGTGTTCGTTTAAATTCGGCTCAGTTGAGGTGTGAAATCAGAGGCTGGAAATTGAGAATTTTTTCAAAGAAGTTTTATCTGAACGTTCAGGGCACAAATGTGATACAAGCAATCGTTGTGGTCAAGGCACAATTGCGCGCAAGCAACTTCTCAAAACAAGTCTTGTATATTCTAGGTGGGGCGTAACTCTCAATGGATATTTCCCTTTCAGTTTCCGAATGACAGTTCTAATGCTTTCGTTTTTCAGATGTTTCCTTTTACTAAATACTTAACTGAAAGATTTAACATCGCCAATCATTGCAATACTTCCGTGTCTCCAGAAACTGACCCTTTTACTCGCATTTTCGGATAACATTTGTTCAGGTTTTGTGATTGCCTTTTTTGCAACTAAGCCAGCAGAGGGCAATATAACTACTCTGCATTGTTTGTGGTGAATGACGTGCGTGATCAGCGATATAAAAGGGGCCCACCTTTTTTCATTTTTCTCTCTCTGCCTGTTGAAATAAATAATTGAAATAAATTTGTTTTTGAACTCAGCAAGCGATTTACTCATTTTCAGGTCCGTTTCGAAATTATTCCACAGATTAACACCTTTGATAGATACACTTCTTTGCTTGATGTTTGTTCTTGTTTTGAGGTTTTGAATAAGTTGGTACCTCTTAAATCATAGCTGCTTTCTCGAATTTCGAAAAACTTCAGAATGTTCAGAGCAGGTTATTGTGTACTTTGTACATTAATTGGGCGATTTTAAAGTCAACCAGGTCATGAAATTTCATCGTATTTAATTTGATAAATAGTGGATTTGTGGGTTCCGTATATTTTGATCTATTAATCATTCGAATTGATTTTTTTTTTGTAGTTTTAGAATAGGGAGTGTGTTTGTTTTGCAGGCATTTCCCCATATTTCCACACAGTTGGTCATATATGGTAATAATAATGAAGAGTATAATGTGTACAAAGATCCCTTATTTCGCACTTCCTTGGTTTTGTAGAGGATCCCAATGGTTTTGGCTATTTTTCTTTTTACGTTATCGATATGTGGCTTCCAACATAGTTTTGAGTCTATTACTAATCCGAGAAACTTGGTTTCATACGCTCTTTCTATCTCAATTGAGTTTACCATAATTTTAGCTTGGTGTTTGATTGGTCTTGTGCCAAAAACAATTAACTTCGATTTTTTCAGGTTAAGTGACAATTTATTTCTGTCGAACCAGTTTTTTAATTTGTTTAATTCGTTTTCTACGGTTGTCAGGAGCTGTTTCAGATTTATTCCAGAACAGTAGAAAGTTGTATCATCAGCAAATAGGACACATTGAAATTGTTTTGAGACCTCGCAGATATCATTTATATGTAAGATGAAAAGTTCTTCGTCGCATTGCGCCAATAGAGCACAACACTGCCACATGCTGGCTGCTTGGCATGTGTACATGTACAGTACAGTATATCATATACCTTATTAAGCAATGACATTTTTCTGTTTGTTTGTTTGTTTGTTTGTTTTTTGGCGGGGGTGGGGGGCAAACAAATTTAAAAAACAAAACAATTCCAAAAACGGGGAAAAATGAAAAACGGAAAAAACCCTGAAAAATCTAGGGGAAACAAACAAATAAACAATTGACAGTTGGGGATTTTTTTGTATTAATTTGTACAACCTTTCAGAGAAGATCAAAATGACAGCATTACAAAATGTTTCCTTTTTTTTCTTTTTTTTTTTACGTTTACTTGAGAGAGGGAGTTCAATTCGACTGAATTCGCAATGGCGTTGACGTTCTCCCTCAGTCTCTTATTTGAACGTAGGATGGCAGCAGAGACCTTGGCATGTCTGGACAGCGGCCACATTGACAGGGAGTGGCCTGTTCAACTTCCAAGACGGTGAGTGGGGGTCGTAGATAAGACGAAACTAATAATCTCGTTTTGCGTGACATTTTATTTGGTCCTCTAAATGTGGCGCCTTTCCACTCTCTAACTAAACATGCCCGCTATTAAAAGCTTAACGGTGCTTTACGACGCGCTAAACGAGGAAGGGACGTTCTCGGAGGGGGATACCATAAGGGGGAAAGTAACGCTGGCCGTGGAAAAGCCGACAGCCGTGCAAAGCTTCTTCGTCAAAGTGAAGGGGGATGCTCAAGTACGCTGGACGAGGAGTGGAAACCAGAAGCACGCGCACTCGGCAGTGTGTCGATACTTAAAACTCAAGCACTTTTTCATCGAGGAAAGCTCCAATGGTAGGCGGTGCAGCATGTCTCCATATTTGTTTGTTTTTATTTTTTGCTGTTGCAATTGTCGAATTTCCATAAAACCACTGTCTTAGTATGTTTTTTGTTGTTAATTAAAAGCTTTGTGTAGAATGGGGTCGCACCGAATATGAAGAAGTGTCAATAAAGCATCTTCATTATAGGTGAAGTTGTGGTCACGACCGCCATAGCTCAATTTTCCCCCCAATCTTCACATACAGTATTTCATATTTTATACACCCCTATCATCTATTATACTCCGTCACTGGTAGAGATGCATGAACATGACTAGAAGTTGCTCGATTACGTTTACACCAATTAAGTCAAACTGTATAATTTCCCATCCTCCACTGGTTAGGAATCACTGCCCAAAGTGGTTCTGTGTTTGTCATGTTTTATGTAAGGTAGCTATATGAACAGTATAAGGTCACGGTGTGTCAGACTACTTTACTCCTCTTCCCTCAGTTCCCATTTAATGAGATATAAATGTGAGTGAATGGTTGCCAGTGACCTGTGATTGACAGCTGAGACCAGCCCCAACTTCCTGCAGTCCTGAACAGGATAAATTGTACATAATATATATATATGTTTATATATCATGCACATACACACACACCAAAATCACTCATATTTCTTGAGATAGCCTTTGTGCCACAGGTAATTTATATTCATATATATGCCTGGAATGAACTGTGGAAACCCGAAAACTGAAAAATGATATGGCTCCTTTAAGATGTATTTACTTACTCTATCTTGTGTTCATGCTGCACTCTTCATAATTTGATTCTTGATATCCATATCAGAATAATCGGAATATCTGAAAATATACCATCCATCCATCCATCTTCTACCGCTTATCCGGGGTCGGGTCGCGGGTGCAGCAGCTTTAGCAGGGAAGCCCAGACTTCCCTCTCCCCAGCCACTTCTTCCAGCTGTCCCCGGGGGATCCCAAGGCATTCCCAGGCCATATGGGTGACATCGTCTCTCCAGCGTGTCCTGGGTCGTCCTCGGGGTCTCCTCCCAGTGGGACATGCCCGGAACATCTCACCAGGGAGGCGTTCAGGAAGCATCCTAATCAGATGCCCGAGCCACCTCATCTGGCTCCTCTTGATGTGGAGGAGAAGCCGCTCGACTCTGAGCCCCTCACGGATGACCGAGCTTCTCACTTTAACAGCAGCACTGTCCCCACCTTTGTCTGCCGCCCAGCTCACACTCCCCCCGACCCCTTTGGCCCCTCCCATGGGTGGTGAGCCCATGAGAAGGGGGACCCACGTTGTCACTTCGGGCTGAGCCCGGCCGGGCCCCATGAGTGTAGGCCCGGCCACTAGGCGTTCGCCAACAAGCCCCACGTCCAGGCCTGGCTCCAGAAGGAGGCCCCGGTGACGCGCGTCCGGGCAAGGGAAAATATACCATCGCTCATGAAATCAATTTCTTCTCATTTACAGAGACAGTTCTTCCCCCGGGTGTCCATGTGTATAACTTTAGCTTTACCATACCATCAACGTAAGTAACATAATTAGGGATGCCCCAATCCGATCACGTGATTAGAAATCATGTGCGTTTCAGTTGATCGCTTGGTTTACTCTCTGCATCTGCTGCTCTTCCATGACAGGAGCATGCCTTCAAGCTTCAATGGCACCCATGGAAAAATTGTCTACAAGCTTGAAGCCAAGTTGTCTCGAAGTTGGAAATTTGACAAGACTGCTGAGAAAAAGATCACTTTTGTCTCCAAGTTCTTCCCACATCTACAATGTCTGATGGTTTGTTATGTCCATCCATCTATTTTTGTTTGTCCTGAAGAGCGAGCTGGAACTCATCCCCGCTGATGTTGTGTGACAACCAGCACTGGTCGCCAACCAGGTCACAGATAGAAAAATGTTCACACTTGCTGTACATGCACACTGGTCGGCATCCTTCAATGATCCGAACACACATGTACCTGCAGAAACCTACCGAATTTTTTTCCTGGTCCTTTTTGGCATTACGAGAAAAGCATTACAATGCCCCCCCTCCCCCCCCCAAAAAAGCAAGAACCCACGCCCAGCAACTAATCCTGCGATGCTGATGTGACGCCACACGCAATGTGCAGAAGAAATTGCAGTCGAATTCTGACTTGTGCCACTTCAGGGCATTACTCCAAAATCTTACTCCATGTTACTAAAAGTTAATTATAACTCGCCTGAGGAAAATTGTGACACTATCCCTCTTAATCTATCATTATTAAAATAATGTTGAAAATGATGTTGACTTTGTGCTTCTCTTTTTTTCCTAGTTAAAACAAGTTGCGGTCAAAGACAAAGAGTTGGGGATTTTCTCAAGTGGAAAAGTGCACATGGAGGTCACCGTTGATAGGAAGGCTTACGCCCCAGGTCAGTCATGTGGATGCTCCTATACACAAGACGCCATGTCTGGATTTTGTTATTTAGCTTTACATTTCCAGAGAAAGTGTCAAAGTTTCCAAAGTATGACATACAAGTCTGCACCTTTGCCCAAATAAACCCTAATCCTTTGATGTTGTGGTTCCCTCAGGAGAAACAGCGGTGGTTGTTGCAAAAATCAACAACAACTCTTCCAGTGACATGACGCCCAAAGTGCATTTGTATCAGGTTATTGTCTACACCGCCAGCGGTCGGACCAAACATGAAAACAGCACTGTCAACAAAATGGCCGGCCACAATATTGGAGCCCACTCAGAGAAGGAGGTTAGTTGGGCTGTGAAGATTCCCACTCATCAGAAGCCGACCATCAAAAATTGTAAAATTATCTCCGTGGAGTACTTCTTAAAGGTAATGTCTAGAAACAGTTGTGACACTGTTTGACCCCAGAAACTACTCATGATTTGTACATGTGCTTTGGGAAGTCTTTTTTTTTCACTTTTCACTGTGAACGTATTTGATGCACTGATGTCACTTTTGGACTGGAATGTCAGTTTTCCTCTTCTGACTTCCCGGATTTTGAGGTTTTCAAGCTGTTTTGTTCGTCAGCCATATTTTAGCAGGCTGACTCACAGTGTATGACTTTTTTTGTTTTTTCCCCCCTCAGGTGTATCTTGACATCAGTTTTGCCTTTGACCCTGAGGTAACCTTCCCGGTGATTATCATACCTCCAAACCTCGCATCTGCATCTCAGTTGGCCGTGTCTGGGCCCAGCTAGGCCTCACACAGCAGTGACTTCCACCCTCTTGCAGCCTTCGCACCTCATTATCATCCATCCCCACACCAACACGAAGGGGGCCAAGTGTATTCGGTAACTCCGCCTTCTTACCCGGCTCATCCGTCGAGCCATGCTGGTCCACCGGCCATGAATCCCAGTCCCGCCGCGCCCATGGCCTGGGGTTTTAATCCGGTAATGTCTTCGTACGACTCTCCGTTTTTACACTCATCGTCATCGAGTGTCCTTCACCCTCCGCTGAATCCACAACCATTTCAGCCACCAGAATCACACCCAGCTCCATCTACACCATCGTACGACCCACTTCCTTTCATGGGCGCCACCAATTTCCTGTCGCAATCAGATGAACCTCCTCCAGCCTATTCGCTTATTTTCCCGTTCTCTGCAAATGATGAGTGAAGGGAAACCAAATAACACATAGATCTGCTTATATGAATCACAAATGCTACAATTTTGTAAATGTAAACCTCTCCATTTCGAACAATTTTTGAAAAGTGTGCTGTAACATTTTACTTTATGTGCGTCTACTTCCTCAAATATTTTGCTTTACAGGGCAGCATGCCAGCATCATGTTGCATTTTGGATCAGGGAAACTGCGAGAAAACCTTTCAATGAAAAGGGATTACTTAACCCTAACCCTTTTAAATGACAGCATTTAAGTTTTTGAAAAAAGTGTCACATACAAATTATTGCATTTGATCATGTTCAGTCACTTTTTTTGGTTTTATATTATGTATCTTATTCGGATCTTCACTTTTCATTCGTTGTAGTACTTGTAAGTCGAATCATAATGACTTAGTTAATCAAAATTACTGCTGAAATCGTGAATATGAGATTTTTTTTTCTTTTTTGTTTGTTTTGTTTTGTTTTCACTGCTGTATGTGGTATTTTAGCCAAGCTTCACGACAGAGGAAAAACGTGACCACATCGGCCTCCGGAGCTGTCCCATTTCAACAATGAATAAAATTTTTCGAAACTAGTAATTGATGGAGGAGGGGAGGGAGAGGTTGTGGTCGCGGCGGGATCTTTTCGCCGTCCCCTGCGTCCCCCAGGTCCTCTGCGTTTTCGTTTAAATTCGGGCTCAGTTGAGGTGGGAAATCAGAGGCTGGAAATGGAGAAGTTTTTCCAAGAAGTTTAATCTGAACGTTCACGGCACAAATGTGATACAAGCAATCGTTGTGGTCAAGGCACAATTGCGCGCAAGCAACTTCTCAAAACAAGTCTTGTATATTCTAGGTGGGGCGTAACTCTCAATGGATATTTCCCTTTCAGTTTCCGAATGACAGTTCTCATGCTTTCGTTTTTCAGATGTTTCCTTTTTCTAAATACTTAACTGAAAGATTTAACATCGCTAATTATTGCAATATTTCCGTTTCTCCAGAAACTGGTCCCCTTCCTGACATTTTCGGATAACATTTGTTCAGGTTTTATGATTGCCTTTTTGCAACTGAGCCAGCAGAGGGCAATATAACTACTCTGCATTGTTTGTGGTGAATGACGTGCGTGATCAGCGATATAAAAGGGGCCCACTTTTTTTCATTTTTCTCTCTGCCTGTTGAAATAAATATGCCGGTGTATGGCTGAAAAAAACACCTATCATGTCATTCTTAGGATGGTCGACAAAAGGATGTCAGTCGACAAGCGCTGTGAAGTCATCCTGATAACGTGCAGTTGTTTTGGGGGAAAATAACATTTCATCTTCCCTTCGCATTGAAAATGCAATCCAAGCCCTGATTATAAGATTTCCACTGTATCAGGTATCGCAACTGCATGTGTGATGTTTCTAACTCACGAATTGGTGGAAAAATCGGAAAAGAATTCGAGGAGTTATGAATTTATTGAAGGCAATCTGTCATCTCAATACTGTACAAGTGAATGGAAGCGATTGCCCGGTACTTCAAGATGGCGACCAAAATTGCACGTCCCGAACCAACCAAAGTGCCTATTCAAGTTATGTGGTTTGTCTATGGGCTTCTTCGTCGCATTGCTCCAATAGAGCACAACACTGCCAAATGCTGGCTGCTTGGCATGTGTACATGTACAGTAACGTATATTCTATACCTTATTATGCAATGACATTTTTCTGTTTGTTTGTTTGTTTTTTTTGCGGGGGTGGGGGGGCAAACAAATTTAAAACATAAAACAAAACAATTCCAAAAACGGGGGAAAATGAAAAACGGAAAAACCCCTGAAAAATATAGGCGAAACAAACAAATAAACAATTGACAGTTGGGGATTTTTTTGTATTAATTTGTACAACCTTTCAGAGAAGTTCAATATGACAGTATTACAAAATGTTTCTCTTTTTTTCTTTTTTTACGTTTACTTTCGAGAAGGACTTCAATTCGACTGAATTCGCAATGTCGTTGACGTTCTCCCTCAGTCTCTTATTTGAACGTAGGATGGCAGCAGAGACCTTGGCATGTCTGGACAGCGGCCACATTGACAGGGAGTGGCCTGTTCAACTTCCAAGACGGTGAGTGAGGGTCGTAGATAAAACGAAATTAATAATCTCGTATCGATCGATTGCGTGACATTTTCTTTGTTCCTCTAAATGTGGCGCCTTTCCACTCTCTAACTAAACATGCCCGCTATTAAAAGCTTAACGGTGCTTTACGACGCGCTAAACGAGGAAGGGACGTTCTCGGAGGGGGATACCATAAGGGGGAAAGTAACGCTGGCCGTGGAAAAGCCGACAGCCGTGCAAAGCTTCTTCGTCAAAGTGAAGGGGGACGCCCAAGTACGCTGGACGACGAGGAGCGGAAACCACAACCACACGCACTCGGCAAGATGTCGATACTTCAAACTCAAGCACTTTTTAATCGCGGAAAGCGCCAATGGTAGGCGGTGCAGCATGTCTCAGTGTTTGTTTGGGTTTGTTTTTCTTGTTTTTTTTTTTGTTTGCTTTTGCAATTGTCGAATTTCTACAAACCCACTGTCTGAGTATGTTTTCTGTTGTTTATTAAAAGCTTTGTGCAGAATGGGGTCGCACCGAATATTAAGAAATATCAATAAGGCATCTTCATTTTTGGTGAAGTTGTGGTAACTACCGCCATAGGTCAGTTTTTCCCCAATTTTCACATACAGTTTTGACTGTACATTATTAGTAGTTGATACATTACGTTTACACCAATTAAGTCAAACTGTATAATTTCCCATCCTCCACTGGTTAGGAATCACTGCCCAAAGTGGTTCTGTGTTTGTCATGTTTTATGTAAGGTAGCTATATGAACAGTATAAGGTCACGGTGTGTCAGACTACTTTACTCCTGTTCCCTCAGTTCCCATTTAATGGGATGTAAATGTCAGTGAATGGTTGTCAGTGACCTGTGATTGACAGCTGAGACCAGCCCCAGCTTCCTGCAGTCCTAAACAGGATAAATTGTATATTATATATATACCAAAATACCTCATATTTCTTTAGATTAGATAGCCATTGTGCCAAAGGTAATATATAATCATATATACGCCTAGAATTAACTGTGGAAAACTGATTACTGAAAAATGATATGGCTCCTTTAAGATAGATTTACAATGACTTGTGTTCACATTGCACTTTTCATAATTTGATTCTTGATATCCATATCAGTATAATCTGTCAATCTGAAAATATACTGTCACTCATGAAATCAATTTCTTCTCATCTACAGAGACTGTTATTCCCCCAGGTGTCCATGTGTATAACTTTAGCTTTACCATACCATCAACGTAAGTAACATAATTAGGGATGTCCCAATCCAATCACGTGATTAGAAATCATGTGCGTTTCAGTTGATCGCTTGGTTTACTCTCTGCATCTGCTGCTCTTCCATGACAGGAGCATGCCTTCAAGCTTCAAGGGCATCCATGGAAAAATTGTCTACATGCTTGAAGCCAAGCTGTCTCGAAGTTGGAAAGTTGACAAGACTGCTGACAAAATCATCATTTTTCACTCCAAATCCTTCCCACATCTACAATCTCTGATGGTTTGTTATGTCCATCCATCTATTTTTGTTTGTCCTGAAGAGCGAGCTGGAACTCATCCCCGCTGATTTTGTGTGACACCCAGCACTGGTCGCCAACCAGGTCACAGATAGAAAAATGTTCACACTTGCTGTACCTGCACACTGGTCGGCAGCCTTCAATTATCCGAACACACATGTACCTGCAGAAAACTACCGACTTTTTTTCCTGGTCCTTCTTGGCATTACGAGAAAAGCATTAAAATGCCCCCCCCCTCCAAAAAAAAGCAAGAACACACGCCCAGCAACTAATCCTGCGATGCTGATGTGACGCCACACGCAATGTGCAGAAGAAATTGCAGTCGAATTCTGACTTGTGCCACTTCAGGGCATTACTCCAAAATCTTACTCCATGTTATTAAAAGTTACTCACAGCTGGCCTGAGGAAAATTGTGACACTATCCCTCTTAATCTATCATTATTAAAATAATGTTGAAAATGTTGTTGACTTTGTACTTCTTTTTTTTTCCTAGTTCAAACAAGTTGCGGTCAAAGATAAAGAGTTGGGGATTTTCTCAAGTGGAAAAGTGCACATGGAGGTCACTGTTGAAAGGACGGCTTACGCCCCAGGTCAGTCATGTGGACGCTCCTATACACAAGACCCCGTGGCTGGATTTTATTATTTAGCTTTACATTTCCAGAGAAAGTGTCAAAGTTTACAAAGTATGACATACAAGTCTGCACTTTTGCCCAAATAAATCCTAATCCTTTTATGTTGTGGTTACCTCAGGAGAAACAGCGGTGGTTGTTGCAAAAATCAACAACAACTCTTCCAGTGACATGACACCCAAAGTGCGTTTCTCTCAGGCTATTGTCTACACCGCCAGCGGTCGTACCAAACATGAAAACAGCACTGTCAACAAAATGGCCGGCCACAATATTGGAGCCCACTCAGAGAAGGAGGTTAGTTGGGCTGTGAAGATTCCCACTCATCAGAAGCCGACCATCAAAAATTGTAAAATTATCTCCGTGGAGTACTTCTTAAAGGTAATGTCTAGAAACAGTTGTGACACTGTTTGACCCCAGAAACTACTCATGATTTGTACATGTGCTTTGGGAAGTCTTTTTTTTTCACTTTTCACTGTGAACGTATTTGATGCACTGATGTCACTTTTGGACTGGAATGTCAGTTTTCCTCTTCTGACTTCCCGCATCTTGAGGTTTTCAAGCTGATTTGTTAGTCAGCGATATTTTAGCAGGTTGACTCACAGTGTATGACTTTTTTTGTTTTTCCCCCTCAGGTGTATCTTGACATCAGTTTTGCCTTTGACCCTGAGGTAACCTTCCCGGTGATTATCATACCTCCAAGCCTCGCATCTGCATCTCGGTCGGCCGTTTCTGGGCCTAGCTGGGCCTCACACAGCAGTGACTTCCACCCTGCAGCAGCCAGCGCGCCTCATTATCATCCATCCCCACACCAATACGAAGGGGGCCAAGCGTATTCGGTAACTCCGCCTTCTTACCCGGCTAATCCGTCGAGCCATGCTGGTCCACCAGCCATGAATCCCGGTCCTGCCGCGCCCATGGCGTGGGGTTTCAATCCGGGAATGTCTTCGTACGGCTCTCCGTTTTTGCACTCATCGTCATCTAGTGCCCTTCACCCTCGGCCGAATCCACAAGCATTTCAGCCACCCGCTCCAGCATTCCCCCCGCATCCATCTGCCCCAGCGGCCCATCCGGGTCCATCAGCACCACCAGAATCACACCCAGCTCCATCTGCACCATCGTACGACCCACCTCCTTACATGAGCGCCACCAATTTCCTGTCACAATCGGATGAACCTCCTCCAGCCTATTCACTTATTTTCCCGTCCTCTGCAAATGATGAGTCAAAGGAAACCAAATAACACACAGATCTGACTATATGAATCAGAAATATTCAAATTTTGTAAATGTCAGAGTCCTTATATGTGCATGTTTTTTTAAAAACATATATCTATATATATATAAAGTTGATATGTGGAAAAAGTCTTGAGGTTGTAAACTGGATCGGGGGGACTGTTCTTCGTGGCCTTATACTGCTTTAATGCATTTCTTTCTGCCTTATGTGTACAGTTTAGCCTAAAATTATTCATAAACTGGACAGATTTTGAGTTAAAGTTACTTTATATTTGCTGAGTTGGCTGCTTGATATGACATAAGTGACAAGAAGTCGCGCCTGATTTTATCTGACTTTTTGGAGGAAAGAATAATTCGCAATCTTCAGGCGTGGCGGGGGGTGACTTTGATTCTCGAGAATGATTTAGAGACAAAGATTTTTTTTAAATAACTTATCCAAAATAAACCGGAATTGTTTTGTCCTGAACTGCACATGCACTACAACTTTTTGAATGACACAACACTTGTCACAAACGGAACCAAATTTTTGTGTGATTGTTTGTAATGATTTTAAACTGCAAATTCTGTTGAGACTGCCATGTTGTTGTTGTTGTTGTTTTTTGTGTCACTGCACTATAAACTGATTTGTTTTAACCAACTTGGGTTTTTTTTTTTTTACACAGTTCACATACAGCATTTTATTATACTGAAGACTGAATTTTGTAAAGCATAATATGCCACACAGTAGCACATTTGGCATCGCTGCTGAAACCTCTCCATTTAGAAGAATTTTTGAAAAGTGTGGAGTAATATTTTACTTTATGTGCGTCTACTTCCTAATATATTTTGCTTTACAGTGCAGCATGCCAGCATCATGTTGCATTTTGAATGACCAGGGATTTCCAAACTGAGAGATCTTTAAATAAATTTGAGTAGAATTTCCTGCTTAGTTGACCATCTTTACCTATAAGTACTTTCGCTCGTAAAATCAAATCATAATTAATTCATCAAAATTACTGCTAAAATCGTGATTTTGAGATTTTTTTTCTTCTTTTTTTTTGGTTTGTTTTCACTGCTGTATGTGGTATTTTAGCCAAGCTTCACGACAGAGGAAAAACATCATGTGACCACATCGCCCTCCAGAGCTGTCCCATTTCTCACCATAATGAGTGGACAATCCTATTCAACTTGGAACAATGTTCTCTTCTATTAACAGATTTATGCCCCACTGTTGGTCATTTGCATGCATACGGATTAGATCACCGACTGCTGTGAGTGTGGTCAGAAGGAGGAAAAACAACTTGCACACTGGAAGGAGATACAGTACAGAAGAAGCATTCAAACCAATCAAGAAATACTTAACAGTATTAAAAAAAAAAAGGGGTGGTGGAGAATCTGTGGAAAGTGGGCCAGATACAGTCCTGCAAGAATATTGCATACACGAGCCGTGCAATTTCAAAAATGAATACCATTTTTCAAAACTAGTAATGCTTGTACAGCAGGGGTGTCAAACTCATTTCACGGGCCACATTTACGGTTTGCCGAGGAGGGCCTTTATGAATTTTGGGAAACCATATAACCATGTGTTTCATCACCTCCACATGTTACATACACAGCGCACAACAAATTTATGAAAAACTAGTTTTAAAATCAGAAGTCAAGAATATTGACTGTTATTGTGGAGTACGCATGACAATTTGAAATTTTGGTTCAGACTTTTGCATGCATCGTGGAACTTCACATGCTTGATTTGCTTTCGTGGGCCACATAAAATGATGTGGCGGGCCAGATCTGGACCCCGGGCCTTGACTTTGACACCTGTGTTTCACAGTATTTAACAATAAAGTAACATCAAGTGAATTTACTACGGCACGAATAGAAATGAGGTCAAATTTCTACTGGTTGGTAAAAAGAAAGTTGGGCTGTGGGCGTGTAAATATTGACGCAATGGCTAACACTTCATCGGGCAACAATTTGCGCTTATAACTGAAAAGCGATGCGGGGAGTTAATGGCGGTCCCTTGGAGTTGAGGAGAGGAATGCGGAGAGCCCCCCACCGCCTCCTCCACCCTGCCTCCATTCATCCACTCACTGCAGTAATTCACGCAAGAGCGCCGAAGAGGCAGCATGAAGTCAGACCACTTCTTTCCAGCTACCTGCACTTGTTCTGTCCGAGTGGCCCACTGAAGTCTTTGCAGCCATGGGGAAAACTCTGAAGTCTATTTCTCTCCTTCCACTCCTCATTTTCACTGGTGAGGCATGACAAGAGCGTGTTGATCTTGTAATCGAAGCTGTTTGTTGACCGAACTGTTGGCAGTTTACTTTTCATGAACTTAGTGTCTCGCTACTCTTACCAACATTTGCTTTTGGCGTCACGTCACGGTGTTTCGACCAATGCTGATGTCTTTAGTCGTTCAATATCACAACAAAAGCTAAGCAAACAACCGTACTGTTTATTTGAAATGTTACTTCTTTGCACAATGAGCTTGTCCAGTACTTTACTCCAGTTTGAAGAAAGCTCTGCAGCATTTAGACACGTCAATTGCCAACTAGTGTCAAGCATTTTAATGTACTTTTTTACATTAACTAATTTTAATGTACAAAAAGCGTTCGCGTCAATGCTAATGCTTTTTTGTACATTAAAATAATGCACGTGCAGTACTATCATGTGCAAATGATGTGATGTGTGAATGCTGAGAAGCAAGCATGTTTCTCTCAGCCCTTACATACTACATCAGTTTGATTCGACCAAAAAAAAGTTTTTAAATGCATCGAATCATGCTTTAGGGTTGTTATTGTGAGTCGCCGTCTCTGTGAGAGAAAGACACCTCTGACGAAAAAACAATACAATCATTTTGACTCGCCACATCTTTCGTGTATACGCTCATTTTGAAATGATTATAAGCATTGTATTGTGTAAATACATTACTTTGTCTTTGCTGAGTATTAACACAGTTTTCATCGAAATTGTTTTTGCTTCCCCCTATACAGAAGTCTCTGGTCTAAACATCCGAAACAAGCTGCTGGGCACATGCCTTCAAGTACATGATGGTTCCCCTGGAGTGAGGGTGTCGCTGGGACAATGCGACCCGCATTCAGCCTTCCAAAAATGGCTGTGGCTGCCTGAGAGCCAGTCTCTCCGAAACCAGTACACCGGGGAGTGTCTGACTGCTCCCGAGGAGCAGTTTGAGGGTGTGCATCTGCAACCCTGCCACCTTCAAAATGAAGAGGCTGGTGGCCAGTTAGCACCGGCCTCAAAGATGGGCGGTGATGCAGGCAGCCAGCAATGGTCTTGTTCCAAGAAAGGCCACCTGACTTTGCTCGGTAAGGGGCTGCACCTCAGTGCTACTCAAGAATCCACTTTGGTCTTTGTATCACGGGAACATAAACAGGTGAGGATTTACTCTATTCAAGCATTTACCGAATGTCGTCATCACAGCTAGCGACAGTTCACAGTAAACATGTGAAGTGTAAAAATATGTGAATCGACTCGGAGGGCGGCCATTTTACCTTATACGTACTCTCACTTACTGTTGACAGAAAAAGCCGAAGGGCTCAGGTAAATGACTGGAACGGCTCCGCCTGTTCACTTGGTTTGATCACGTGGCGTTCGCAAGCTTAGTGGTGAGGCACTGTGATGTCATCTAAAGTCGACAGCAAGTGTCAGTACAAGACAAAATGACCGCCCCCTTAGATGGATGCAAGCAGGTGGATTTTTCTGCTTCATTCATTTTCCACAAACCCAATATTAATCCGAATCCCTTGTTAAGACTCGCAGGGTCACCTAAAACATATTATTGCAAAGAACATCTTTGACTTGACTTCCTCTTTAGGTATTTTGTGAAAAAAGCGTTTGTCCCGTTCTATTTGGATTCACAAGCAGGGCAGCAGGTGGAGGACGCTGGACAACCAAACGTTGTTGTGTGGAGGGAGGGACACAAAACACCACCAGCACCACCATCAAAACTACCAAGCACACCACCCTCTGGGGAAATCAATGGAACCGATCCTGTTACCAAGTGCTATCTCGGATATGGACAGAAAAGCAGGTTGTACATTGTACATTGTTGTACATTATAGGTTTCTCGATAGCAAGCGAGGAAAATAGTTACCGACGGAAGCCAATAGAGTAATATGGAAATTATCAGTGGGGGAAAAGAGTGAATCCAATGTCGGCTAGAAGGAATGTTTCGCCTCACCCCCTGCAATCTACAATGGCTATTTCTGTTCATCTCACCACCTTTTTTTTTTTTTTTTTTTTTTCTAAAACCATTTAGCTGTGTTTTAGCAAAAATATTGAAACTTCCCAGGAACGATGCTCTAGTTTTCAACCTAAATATATCAATCATATTCAGATTAATGTAGCATACAACAAATTGTACCTTTTGACTGTTGGGGCAACTGTTTGCCATTTAAAACCCACAATAAAAATATATATTTTTTAAAAATCCTTATTTACACGATTGGTATATTTTGAGTAAAATGAGTTTCAAACTCAACGCTTTTTTTCTGTCTATCAGATTATATTGTTTATCAATGCTTGTTAAATGGGAGCCATTTCAAGTCGTACCCTGGCACTCAATCAGAGACAAGAATGTTTCAAGTGCTGTACGACAGCGAGGATTACATCCAGTGTACTGTATAACTGAGTACGAAGGACACAGAGAGTGGCCGCTTGATATTTTTTTCTCCTCCCCACCTCCAAAACAAACAAGGTCAAGAAAAAGGCTTGTCTTGATATCATAAACCAAGTCCAACAATTGCTGGCGGCAAACAACATTGGTAATCAACTCAGTGAAATCTAATCTATTTGTGTGGGGGAGGGTTGATTTGACGTGGCGTGTGTTGTTGCAGATGACCTCACCGGCAGAGCTATTTTTATTCAATGTGGAGACATTTTCGTCCCTGTATTTCTCTGTTACCTGCTTATCAGGGCTAATCGCTCATCAATATGGTTAATCTCTACACAGTGTACAATATATAATTCTAGTGGGTATGATGATACAGTATGGTATTTTTCAACCGCAAATGATTGTTACAGCAGAGGTGGCAAAAATACATGGAAGTACAGTTACTTGGACTGGGAGGACAGATTCCGTTCCTGATTTGTACAAAAAAAAAAAAAGACGTTTGTCACTTCCTACCACTCCTGTAAGAAATCGTTGGCTGTCTCAAATTAATATACAGTCAGTGCACTGTTGCACCAATCGATATTTTCTTCTCGCTGGCAGTCAGCCAGCTACCATTCATTTTGTCATGTCATAGAAATCCAGATTCCTGTTGTGGTTTCACATAAATCTAGACGTGAGCATCCACTCCCTTTATCAGATGCAGGGCAGGCATTTTGTCGCAATCTGGGATCTATTCAATTTGACGCATTTCTCTTCTCCCTCCCTGACAGTTGAAGCTACATTTAGTGATGGAGTCACCGAAGAATTTGCAGTCAGAGACGTGTCTGATGTTTTCTCCCAAAGTACAAAGTCCCCCGAGGATCCCACCATGGTTTTCTTCACCATGGACTATGGTACAATCATGAATGTTTCAAAGGAGTCCTCCTTGTGTCATTTGAAGAGAGCAAATGTTTGATTCAGCTCTCAACTCTAATTTAGCAACGAGATGAACTCTTGCTTTTTCACCACTAGACGGGGCTATAGCAAAGAAAATCGAAAGAATCTTTCCTGCCTGTGCTTGTCCTGAGCTTGAATATCCGATTAGGCCTCCAGAGTTCTTTGACAATTCATTTCTTAATTGACCAGACTGGGATATAAAAAACACTTCATAAATTATTATGATTTTATATTATTTATTTACTTTTATGGATACTTCTATTATCCAGATGAGATCAAGCTTCATTTATTTAGTTGAAAAGAGAAGTTTAAAAAATATGTACAGTAATATACTGACATTACATTCATCCATTAATTTATGTGATTTGAATTTATATTTCATAGATTTCAAATTAAATTAATCTACGAATAAAACCCATCTCATTTGCAATATGTTTGTGACCGTAAGAAGTAGTGAAGTTCATTTAAGTCACATGAAAGAATCACGAAACAGAAACTGTGTCATGTGAACAATTGTTTTTTTAATTTTAAATTAAATACAGTTCAATTATATTTAACTTAAAACTAAAGTACATTCGGATGATGGTTGTTCTTTTTTAGAACACATTCATGAAAACATTCAAACATTTATATGTAGGTCGAATTTTTATTTAAATTTTATGTGCAGCAAATTTTGTTCGAAGCGTCTTTTAAGGACTTTTTTTTCTAGAGCGCAGTGTTCATCCTCAGTCTTTGAAGAATGTTACGGTGTCTTAAAATATTATAAGAAATACTGTTTAGGAGTAAAAGCTCTGCCTTGTTTTGATGAACACTTTGGCCCACTACACTACTGTAGTTTAATGTTGGTCATGATGCTGGTAATTGGAGAGCCAAGTACTTTTTTTTAGAAGCTGCTTGTTGTGAAAAGTTTGAGAACCCACTGTTGGAAGTATGCCGCATCTCATAGAAGTCTACAAAACATGTGCAAAGAGTTTAGAACAGTTAACGAGTCGTTGCCAGAAAGTAATGATGTACCGCTTATGTATCTTCACAGGCATGAGCTGGAAAATAACCATGTTGGTTTTAAGCTCCTTGGCTCTCGTGCTTGGAACGGTCATTCTTATTTTCAACGTTTACTCCAATAGGTGAGTGTCGACACGCCAACGTAAAGAACTGTGCATGTCGACTTGAAGTCAATCACCTCACACTGTCTCAAATTTTTCATCCGGGTGAGCCAGAAGGAAAAAGGTGGTGTGTGTTTTGAAGTCATACACTCCAAAGCCAGAGGCGGGCATCCCGGGGTCCCCCGTGCCTTGTGAGAGAGCCCCGTTAACGGAACACGCCATGCGCTACCCGCTCTCCTCCCCAACAATGCAGCGAGGAGAAATCCTGATTGAGTGGAAAGACGGCACGGTTACACCACTGTATGAAGCCTGATGGTTGTGCGCGACATTCGACAGCATGCTTACAGAAGGGAACAAATATAAGACTGGAGTTTTGTTTGGTTTTTGAATATTTTGAGTCGAGTGTGTTTGGTAAGTTGCACACAGTTTCCATATGGGCTCGTGGTTTAAGTGCAGCCACCACAGCAAAAAAAAAAAAAAAAAAAAAAACAAAAACAGTAGCTTGGCAGCCTTTAAACGGTTTGGAAAATCTTTTTTTTTTGTTTGTTTGTTTTGTGTTTCCATAGTTGACGCAACATTTCGTGCAACATTTCGTGAATGGCCGGAACCAAACCATTGCTTTGTTTTTCATTCCAGTTTGCGTTTAGCTAATTAGGAGGGATTGTTTGACTTGGGAATCCAACTGTAGTCACCAGTTAACTAAAAAGGTCGAATCTTGTTCTCATGTACCATAATGATTGTTGCAGTTTCAACATGTGGTCATTAACGAACAGTATTTAATCATCCCCGGGGGGGGCAAGGCAAATCCATAAGGAATACGGAGCACTGGAAATGATTATCGGAGGTGAAGCATTTTGATGTGTTTTTAAGAAAGTGAATTAAGACTAAAACAATAAATAATTGCTTTAAATTGGGAAAAAAAAGTTCTCATGACAAGTTTGTGGCCCCAGGCAATTTGGTGTGTTTGCCTCATGGTGTGTTTGTTTGCTGGTTTTGGTTAGTGGAAAAGTTTTCTCCACTCTCTGTAATAAAATGAGACCGGATTAACATTTAGTTTACATGTGATCCATTTTTTCCCGACGTAGCTCATGCACTTTTTTTTAATGCTAATTTTTTTCATGACAACTTTTTTACAATCTGTGGACATGGTTACATATTTGTCTGTTGTGGAAATGAGGACATTAAAACATTTTGTACTGTACTAATATTTCATGTTCATGTGGGGCTTGAAGAGCACAGTAGAAATTAGTGAGATCAATTAGTTTGGCGCTAATGTGCTGAGTCAATGTATTTTTTTTTCCAAAATAAAATCACTGTAACTTTAAAAGGAAAATAAAACCTCATATGAATGTATTAAAACCACTGACTTTGTATGATTTTGTGGCTTCATTAAAGATTGACGTATTCTGGTTTGGTACGGTGGACGACTGGTTCGCGCCTCCGCCTCACAGAGGTTCAGGGTTCGACTCTGGCTCCAGCCTTCCTGTGTGGCGTTTGCATGTTTTCCTCGTGCCTGCTTGTTTTTGTTTTGTTTTTCTGGGTACTCTGGTTTCCTCCCACAAACATGCATGGCACGTTGATGGAACACTCTAAATTGTCCCGAGGTGTGAGTGTAAGATCGGTTGTTCGTCTATGTGTGCCTGACTATTGGCTGGCAACCAGTTCAGGGTGTATCCCGCCTCCTCTCCGAAGACACCTAGGATAGGCTCCAGCACCCCCTTGTGAGGACAAGCGGATCAGAAAATGGATGGATGGATTTTTTTGGTTTTCCTATAGATGCCGTACCTGAAACAAATAGTGTGTGTGCATGCATGTGCATCAGATAAAGTACAATTTATTGCAAAATATCAGAAAGTTTGATTGCAGTGCCATAAATGTTTTGACCATCCCAGTCGCCCATGCCTGCTCCGGTTACTTGGAGAGCATGAAATTTCTCAAGTGTACAACATCAGCCTGTAGCATGGAAAATTCCCAGCAGGTCTGTTTTGGAGTCTTTGGGGGGGCTCCAGCTTTGGGGGTGGGAGACAGATATGGCCGCTCCAGGAGTGTTAATTGGATTGCATTTTCACAACAATCAACAGATGTGTGACAAGGCAACATGGTTTGTTTTTGTCATGTGTTCAGTTGAAGCAAGTGCTTCATTTTGGGGCATATTTTAAAATGATTTCTTGGCGTTAGGATATAAAACGGTCTTCCCTGATGGCAGTGTTTAAACTAATGAGAGGGAGGCAAATTGAATAAAGTGCACACTGCACATGGAAAAAGCCACAGCACCTCGACGCAAACCATATGCGCATGTTTGAGAAAAACAAAGTTTTTTGTCTTTTGTGAATGGAGAAACTTCATCTGCCCTTCTATCATGATTGGATAATAATTCATTCTCCTTTTTCATGTGCTTTAATTTGTGTTCCTTTGACAGCATTGTAGGAGTCTGAACTATATTCGTGGAGTAGAGACCTCTTTTGTTTCAGCAAAATGAGCGTCATTCTGTTCGATGCACTCATCAGCTTCGCTGCCACTCACATGCTGTATTGATAATTCTCAATAATGATCAAAAATAATACTTATATTTCTATCACAAAACACGTATTTTTCTGAGCTAACGTCAAAGTGGTGTTGTCTTATTCGCTTCCATTCCCGAAAAAAAATCCCCAATAAGCTTGTTGTCTTATTTTGTGTCCCCAAATGCGTTTCGTTGACAGAAGTCCGGAAATAGATGTCTCTCGATGAACCAAATGCAGTCGTGTTATCTATTTAGCATCTAAAACCTTTTCACAAACAAAATGGTAGATGGTTAGAAGTTGAAAGTGACATACCACAAGGATGAAGAATGCCAGGAGCAAATGTTTGGGCTGAGACTTTGGTATGTACAACGTGGCCTAAGGGGGCGTAATACAGACTTTAAAGCCATGATCCGGAGCAGATTTTGTCAAATGGAATCTACTTGGTATGTAAGATGCCATATTGAGGGAATTGTTCAGTTTAAAGCATGAAAGTAAGGACGTGTGCTTTCTCTGCAGCAGACCTACATTTCCTCCTTTCTGCGACATGTACACCTCAAGGGTCATTTCGTTCCCCCCCGCAAAGAAATAGAGAACCATGCACTTGTGTAAAACACAGTATGCAATGGAATGTAACTTAACACTGAAAAAAATGGTGGGTTGAATTTACTCAATTTTGCTAAGTGTTGCAGAAAGGAAAAAAAAATCTTCTGGATCCAGGTACATTTTTTAATTCAGTGGACAGTCAACTTTAAAAATGTATTCTAAGTGTTGCAGAAAGGAAAAAAAAATCTTCTGGACATTTTTTAATTCAATGGACAGTCAACTTTAAAAATGTATTTTAAGTGGAGTAAAAGCGATTCCTGAATGTTTAAAATTCCCAATAGTGCTGAGGCCCCGCACACCCCCCAAAATGGATCCAGAGGATTTTATTTCGTGCAACCACTTGACAAATTAAAATTGAGTACATTCAACACAAACTTGTTTTCGTGGAGTAAAAGCGATTCCTAAATGTTTAAAATTCCAAATAGCGCTGAGGCCCCCCACACCCCCAAAATGGCATTTCCCTATTGCCCTTCTTGATGACCAACTTACATATCAAACACAACATCAGCAGTTTTAAATTAGCAATTTTAATATGATTTTATAACCGTCTTGTTTTATCACAGTTGTATTTTTAGTTACTAATAATTATGCTCTTAAATGGTGTCACTCAACATACATGCAGCCTTGTTATGAAAACATTTTTTTGCCACATACAGTGTAGGAAGAGGAAAAAAATGATCGCCACTTTTTGAGTCATACATGACTCAGCAGGAGCGCCATCGAGCTAATTGCTCTGATCAAAGGTGAACGTAGGGTAATTTTTCCACTTCTATTTCTCAGAATTATTCAAATGTTTTGAGTTGTAATGGGGTGCAGCAATCAAACCACAGCAGCCCTGCAAATCAATACTCAGATCATGAAAATCAAAATACACAAACTATATCTGATAATATTTCTCCCAAAAAGTGTTCCTTTGATATTTGAGATAGCCAAAAAAAAAAAAAAAAATGGAGCCACAAGCTAATCCAAAAAAATAAAAATTTCCTTTGATATTTGAGATAGCCAAAAAAAAAAAAAATGGAGCCACAAAGCTAATCCAAAAAAATAAAAAATGATGTATGTGGTGAGGGACGATGGGCAGACAGCTGGAATGAGAGATGATGCAGAGAGCAGGGAGACGAAGAAGGGTGATTCACTATGGCAACCCTCGAATAGAGGTAAGCCGAAAGGAAAATATGAGCACCTCGGTTGACTTTTTACCGTTATAATTACAAAACGAAAAAGCCCCGCCGTGGAAAAAAAAAAGGAAACTGTTATTCTGAAAGTCAAGACCCACATTTGAATTATTTCAGCTGACCTCGTAGTCAAAATAGAGCCGAAATGTCAACACTGTATGAGGTACACCGCAAAATGATGCAGTAGCTAAATTTAATTTTGCAACTAAAAATCATCTTTTATTCTGAGCGCACAGCATAGTATGATCAGTGCGGCCATGCTTTCTAACCTAACTGAACATTAATTGAATAAAAATTCTCAGAGGCACAACCAGCGACCATTGCCACATTTGTGCATACTGACGTGTTCAAGTGAGTAAAAAGAAAAAAACCTGCAAGGGTTGTTAAATATTAATGAGTGCAACATTGGATAGAGACAGTGACGTCATCCACATATGATAAAAACAACTTTTATTGTATCAGTACAAAAAGAATCACCCACCAACCGACATTGAAAACACAGGCTCATATTCCGAGACGGCACCAAACAGGTGCAGCTTTGTGAATCAACAAACATGAATTGTAACCAATTCATGATGGAAAAAAAAAATTGACAGTTAACGTTGTGATTGAATTGTTTCCCCACAGTGAAATATAAAATCTTCTTCAAACATCACGTTTTAAATCTTGAATTCAAAGATTGAAATTGCCCGGACAGACACGGAAACTAACTTGGAAAACCTTGCATACTAAGTGCATGGACAGTTAAGATATAAATCGCTTCATAAAAAAAAAAATAATAATAAGTATTTAAAACTACATCGGTACCAAGTATAAAATACTGTTTCAATTTGAAGACCAGGGACACAACGTCAACATTTACATCTCTTCTTAAATGGATGTTTGTGTTGTCATGCTTCTCCCCTCTACCGTCTTTCTTCTACAAACGCAATACAAACACAAAGAAAGTAAATTACTGTAGCTTCATTTCATGATCCCAACCAGTCTAGCAGTTAAACTGCGGTGAAAAGTGGATCACACCTGGTTTGTTTTCAACAAAACGGCCAAAGAGGCTCAGTGCACTTGTTTGGTGGCCTCTTTCGACTTGTCGTTAGCAGCGACGCTGGTGAGCCGCAAGTTCTCCTCCGCCTCGGCGTTCCTGCGGTCACGTACTTCTCCCTCCTCGTGGAAGCCGACCATCATTTGGTAGATGACCACGCCGATGAAGGTGCCGAGGAAGGGGGCGAAAACCGGCACCAGGAACCAACCGTTTCTGACGCTGTGAAAAGGACAATTGCGATGCTTTGTGAGCATTTCAGGTCAACAAGCGCTCCCAAAAGAACTGACAATGATCATCATTCTCAGGGAAACGTGCGCTTACGTGAAGACTTCTACTCCCCAGCCGGCCATTGCGGTAAAAA